CGGGCCCGGGGAGCCGGGAACGCAGGCCCTTCCTCCACATGACGTCGCCAAGACTCATCCAACTGCGTAAGGGTGGAGCACGGCTTCTGCGCCGACCTGCAGAGGCTTGTTGCTCCTCGTCGACGCTGCCCTCTGCTGTCATCGCGCCACTTCCACAACCTTGCCTCCTACCAGGTGAAGGCGGAGCGGGGCTGGATCTGAGGGCCTGTGCTGAGGACCCTCAAGTTCCGTCAAGGTATTCCTCCTCCAAAAATCACAACATCACTATTCTGTAAAAACTTCAATCTTTCCATGAGCACTGTAAGCAAATAAAAAAAGGTTAACTACATCATGCACCAATGTGTGAAGAGCATGCTGAGCCTTTGGACTGGGTTGTACAGGAATAATCCGTTATAGTGCTCAGAAAATTAAGCTAGGCACATCTGATCCACTCTGTTGATGGCCTAGACATTTACGAAAAATATGGCTCAGCTACTATTATGCTCAGAAATCTTGTTGTTGTGCTAGTTCTTTTTTCACTAAGAAGAATGGCTTCTGTTTCTCAAATTTTATAGTACCTTCTTTTTTCTGTCATATCAGTTCATCATTTGCATGAGAATCAAGTGTTTTACTCTTATTGTAGTGTTCTTTTGTCAGGCAATCCTTGGATGGCAGGCAGCAACGGGGCACATGGGCCTAGCTGGTTCATTCGCCGCTTGCGAATGAAGCGTCCCTTGGGAATCCCTTCAAGCCATAGGATGTGGCCTGCAAAGCAGATGCATGGTCGGGATCATCGTCGTAACCTGGTGGGACCGTAAGCTCAACCGCGCCGCCATCGAAGGACAGGATTTTGCAACAGCAGAATAAAACATGACTTTGTGAATGGCATTCTTATTTTGCACTGTCCTATGTGGGTCTTCTTCATTTGGATGCATGTACATAGTCATATTCTTCTTTGTCCCATTGAACCACTTCTCATCTGAGTGAATAATATTTTTCATTTCCTTGAACTTGGGATTGTCTGGTAGAGTACTTTATTCTAGCATAGAGAGAACCCCCCGCAGCCTTGTCTGTTTGTTTTCTTCTTTCAAATAAGGCTTCAATGGGTTAGAGTGTCGTCGTAGCAAGCCTTCTTTGAACAACCTATGTAGAGAGCTTTTATTGATAGTAAGAGCAGTTGCTAGTGACCTTATGATACCCCTTCTGTTTAAGGGAATATCAACAACCCTTGTGAGGTCCACTTGAATTTTTTTACGACTACAATTCTTTGGTCGCAAAGATTTGACATCTACTGGTATGCCTTGTTCCAAACATTTTTTTTTGCTCTCTGCCATACCCGTTGTATTGTACGCACATGGACATTGTACTTCGCAGCAATAAGTGTTGTGCTATCTCTTTTTAATTTGCCACTATTGCTTAATTGAAGCAAATCTTCATAAATGTCTTATCGTTCTCTTTCTGTCAAAATCCTGACCACATTTGTTGCTTCTTGCTGGGTTTGCTGATCTTCGTTGTCATCCGAGTCGGACAACTCCTCTTCATCAAATATGATGTCAACAGCATCTATGTACATGCCGAAGTCTTGTATGAGATGGTCCCAGGTATCATGTTCTGCTTGCAAGGCAGTGTTGTCATTTCCTAAAAAAATGTAGATGGTGTGTGTTGATTGTCATTAAATAAATTATCAAACTTTTCACAGGGACAATTATTCTGGCAAACATAACTTAAACCTAAGTGAAATAATCACCTGCATGCAGGTTTCCTTGTTCTTCTACTAGTGGATCATTCAAATCAAATGGATGTCCAACATTTTCACCTGTACAGAAGTAGCTGATGATTATGAAAGGCATTGTCACCCCCACAGCTGATAAAGAGAATCCCTGCTGCAAGAGTTACAGGTGATAGATAAATAAAAACAAAAAATTCGCAGATGTTGCCAGTCATTTTAGTATAGAGGAAGTAAACATGCCCATGTTATTTTAGGATAGAGAGGTTACATAGAACAAGTGGTACATAAAAGAGTTTCAGGTGACAAAAGACAGTAATGACTAAATTTCCTGATGTTGCTTATGATTTTTAGGACAGAAATAAACCAGCACACTAATTTTAGGAGAGGGAGAGGGAGAGGATGTGTGAGAGAGAGAGAGCTTGAAACAGTACACTCAGATTTGGATACAAGCAAACGTGCTTACCTTGATGAATTCCTGCTTGTTCATGAATTTGATCAGGATGGAGACCAAAGTGACCAGATCCCCCAACTTCAATTGCGTCCACTACATCTTCGAAGGGATTATGATCCTCTTCATGTTCATCAGGCTTCTTGTTGAGATCTGGCAACTCCTTCCCTCCCTCTGGTACTGTGTTCAAGTCTATTGGCCTCGTTCGCTGGTCTGAACTTTGGCTGAAACTGGCTGAAAAATACTGTTCTGGCTGAATTGTTGTGAGAGAAAAACACTGTTCCGGCTGAAAAAATAAGCTGAACAAGCCAAATTTAAGACAAGCGAACGAGCCCATTGCCATGGAGGATACATGAGGAATGGTTTAAATGAGTGGAACGAAGGGTTACCAGGCTTTATTGGCACAGGAGTTAGAGAAATGGCACTGGGAGCACTAGTTTCAAATTTTAGTTTGCCTCTTCTGTGTAAAAATTGAGCGCACTGATATTTTTTGGCGCCAAGTGCTGTTTGCCGCCCACGATTTGATGTAATGTTTGGTTTATTTAAATCCAAAATAATGCATTGCATGTGTAACTGTAGAAAAAGTTGATGTGACAACTGTGTTTTGTTTATTGTAAAAAAAATGTTTGTGTGTGGCATGCCTGTTTCGGCTGTGTTTAGTTCGCGAATTTTGGGAATTTGGTTATTGTAGCACTTTCATTTTTATTTAGCAATTAGTGTTCAATCATGGACTAATTAAGCTCAAAATGTTCGTCTCGTAAATTTCAACCAAACTGTGCAATTAGTTTTTTTTCGTCTACATTTAATGCTCCATACACATCTGGCAAGATTCGATATGATGGCTGCTGCAGTACTTTTTGGGAAATTTTTTGGAACTAAATAAGCCTTCTAATCCAAGAATGAGCATTAATGACCTGTCTATTCGCAGCAGGTGAATGTACTGTACTCCCTATTTTACAGGGGTGTTCAGGTGTGTCGTTAGGTTACTTTGTGTTTGGTTGAACTGTGGCTTAAAAAAAAGTTGATGTGGGTTGTGAGCTGTGAGAAATCTGCTGTGGGCTATGAGCTATAGAAAAGCGAAAAGCTGTTTAGTTAAACAAGTATAAAATATACCTTCTATCTTTATCTCTCTTGAAACAACAATGGAAGAGCTTTTTATTCCACCAATTTCGAAAAGCAGAAAGCCAAAATATAAAAATAGGGTCAAACCAGTTTTCAAAAATATACTACGAAAAAACAGCTGCTTCTGAAAAAACAGCCTCTTTGGTTGAGCTTTTGACTTTTGAGACCAAAAGACAAAACCAAAAGCCCAACCAAACAAACCCTTAAGTCCTAAGCCAAAAACGACGGGTATTAAGGGACCGAAAGAGTACGTATGTGTATTCTCGTTACCCCGAACTTTTATACTGTAACTTGACACTTAGCTACTCGTCCTACTTCCGCATGTAATATACGGAGAGTAATGCATAAACAAACGCTACTGCAGCTCGTATGCGGGTATATAACTTTATACTAAATCCATTCTAAATTATAGTTCGTTTGACTTTTTTTTTACTTTGACCACTCGTTTTATTTAAAAATTTATACAAAATATCACTTCTTTTATTGTGGCTTGCTTTATTAACAAAAGTTAGGAATGATTTAAATTTGACTATGTTAGGATAATTTTTTTAAATAAGACGAGTAGTTAAACTTGAGATTAAAAAAGACAAACGAACTATAATTTGAAACGGAAGAAGTATGTATTATTGGATGGAGGATGTATGAATAATAACCATTCGGCACATCAGTTTCCTCTGAACAGCATGTGTTGAATGTACTGGCTAGCTGTCCCAAAAAAGATTTAACTTCATAGTAAAAAAACAAGCCACCTTGAGTTTAACTAAGTGTATAGGGAATAGTATTGATATCTATGAGTCCAAATAGATATAAGATAAAAAAAATATTTTGCAAAAAATAGCTATTTAATATAATAAATATTAGTTTTTTATAAAAATAGTTTATTTAATTAAACTTTTTAAAGTTATACTGGTATTTTTAGACGGAGTAATCGTATCTGTGGTACCTACTCCTACTACAGTAGGTGCAGGTGCAGCTGCCAAAGTGTGAAGGGAGGGGATAAGACAAGGGGTGCAGCGCAGCAGATCCAATGACGGGACGCCGCAACTGAAACTCAACCACGTGCCAACGCGCTTGTAGCGCAGCGGTGTGCGCTCCCGTCGTGGAGCCACCCACCCGCGTTCGGATCCAGGTTGTAGATCGGCCGGGTGTGGCACCGGGGGATTTTTTTTCCATATTTGTTTGGTGCAGGTCTCGATACTCACGTGGTGTTATAATGGGATACTACAACTTGTACACTGTCCAGGCTTAAAAAAAAACACTCAACCACGTCGCTGCCTGCCCACATGATTTCGTTTTCGTTTACTGTCCAACATAACAGAACAGGCTATAAACTCCAGTTGACTGCCGACACACCTGCATTAGCCTTCAACTCCGGCGCTGCGACACACTCGCTCATTTCCTCGTGCCCAGCTTACCCCTATGTTCCTGTGTGTCCAGTGACCGTGGTGGCATGCCGAGTCGCCATCTCCGGCAAGCACAGTGGCATTCCTGCAATACGGCAGAATCGCATGCCGAGTCATGCAACGCCATTATTACGAATGAAAGATAATGCTACCAAGCAACTTTCTCTCACGCTTTAGAGCTCCATCGCTCTTTTAAGCCGCCCCGTGCATCTCCCCAACCCCCTTCCCAATGATACAAACATCATTCATCATTCATCAGGAGAGCAGCTAGCATCTGTGCGTCTCTTCCCCGAGAGGCAACCTACCATATAGTACCGAAATGGTGCTGCTCTCCTCCGGCGGCCGCCGCGGCCTGATGATCGTGCCGTCCCTCGCGGCGGTGGTGGTGGCCGTGCTGGCTGTCACCGCCCCGCGCGGCGCCGATGCGTACAAGAACTACACCGTCGGCGACGACAAGGGCTGGTACGACGGCCTCACCCTGCCGGGGGTCGACTACAAGGCGTGGGCTGACGGCAAAAACTTCAGCCTCGGGGATTTCCTCAGTGAGTAGAGAAGTACTACTGCTTGCACTTGCATGCATGCTCCCTGTCCCTGACTCCACTCCACGCCTATGGCTCTGTTCGCTTGTTATAATTTGTACTTTTCAGTTTGTTTTTTTAGTCAGAACAGTATTTTTTTCTCACAATAAATTAGTTGGAATAGTGTTCGATTTGTTTTTTCAGCGAAACGAACGAGAACTATATATGCTAATCTTGATTTGTTTCAAGTGATCAAGTAGGTAATCATTGTTTATTATCATCATCAGTTGTCTGTCATTTGGGTTAACCTGCTGGACAGGTGTTTTAACATAATACTAACTGAAAATGAGACATCGTTTAGTTCATCTCCCTAAAGTTTACTCCCTATCCCATCGAAAATTTGACACATGCATGGAGTATTCAATATGGACTAAAAAATAACTAATTGCACAGTTTGCGACTAATTTGTGAGACGGATTTTTTAAGCCTAATTAGTTTATGATTCGACATTATGGTGCTACAGTAACACATGTGCTAATGACGAATTAATTAGATTTAATAAATTCGTCTCATGGATTACTAACTATTCTGTAATTTATTTTTTTATTACTATCTAACTGCCTCATACGACAGCTTACGTGACACTCCCAAACTTTGTCCTGGATTTAAACCAGGCTAAATAGGTAGTAGAGGTACCACCGCACCGCAGCCAGACGAAGATGACCCAAGCACGCAATGACCCATGGCCTTTTCAGTCCCAGTTTTGCTTTGCCAATGCATGAGCATCCCGATGCATCCGTCTGGGAATCTGCTCCCTTTCTCCATTTCCTGATGCACATGGCCTGTGGGGGGAAAGGCTCGATATGCCCCAAACGCCCACTCTGTTTTCAGGTCGTCAATTATCAGTCACCATCACAAGTAGTATCCGGTATTGGTATTGGTATGCTCATTTTCGGCACTATTGGCATCCAAGATCTCGACTTTCATCTCGCTGTGCCTGTGCGTCCTGCTACTTTATTTGCTGTCGTTTCACGTTAGAAGAACATGGCCAAAGTCCCTTCCTTTTATTCAGCACTATTTTTTAGCTAAAGAAAGGTGTTTTCCTCTGATATCATTATAGCATAAGAGTCAGCATAAGCCAAATTTCAGCATAAGCGAGGGAAGGCATCACCGCATCAGTATGTTTTTGTTGTGACCTGCATACGAACTACCAGCACTCTGCTAATCTGCTCGTCTGAATAACGCAACTAACATGACTGTCACTGTATAGCCAACCCACTCAGAGTGACAAGAACGTTGCAGCAGCAGCTCTTAAGCCTATGTACCTGATTAGCTAACTGGTGGTTCCACTCGCCACATCACAGCAATCAGTTAGAAATTAATCCGTGCATTGCATCCAACTACATTTGACAGTCCTGACTAACCAACGCACCTTCACCTTCACTGCAGTCTTCAACACGGACAAGAACCACTCGGTGGTGCAGACGCGGAACGGGACGCTGTACAAGAGCTGCGACTACAACGACTCGGGCCCCGACGACACCGTCGAGTGGTCCGCCGCGGCCCCGGAATTCAGCAAGGACGCCGTCACCGTCGCCGTGCCGCTCCTCAAGGAAGGCCGCGCCTACTTCTTCTCGGGCAACTACGACGGCGAGCAGTGCGAGAGCGGACAGCGCTTCGCCATCGACGTGGCCCACGGCCAGGGCCTGCCGCCGGACCTCACGCCGCCCGTCGCCGCCGACGCGCCGGCGCCCTCCTCCTCCGCGGGGACCGCCGACGGAGCGGCTGCGCTCGACTTCAGCCACCCCAAGAACGTCACCACGCCCAGCGCGACGGACGACGACGACGGTGAACCGAGCGGTACCTCCGGCTCCTCCACTGCTCGGACTCTAGCCGGTCAGCTGAGGTCTGCTCTGCCCGTGACCGTGACGCTGCTCATCACGTTGCTCTTCGCGATGTAGGTGGCATACGTTAGTTTATCTTTTGTTTGTGTCGTGCTTATTGGGCCTCATAATTAATTTATTTACTGCGTTATAATTAATTTATTTACTGCGTTATTCAAATATAGAAGGGTTTCTAAGTTTCTATATATAGATGAAACATAATTAGATGTTAGTGAAATGTTTTCACTTGTATATTCTGCTGTATCTGGCTATTTATTTGATTTGTACCGTGTCGACGAAATATGGTCGGCAGTCCATCTAGGGGTATGCCCATGATGGTAGATTGTCGGTAGACGGTGCGTGTAATCAGGAACCAGATGGTTACAGAAGGCACAAAACACAATATTTATATAGGTTCGGCCGCCGTGTTGGCGTAATGCCTACGTCCTGTGTCTCATTATTCTGTATTGATTGAGGTGATCTCTGAGGGGACCCCTGTCTCTCTTTGTATACTCAGGAGAAGGAGGGTTACAAGTAAAGTATCATATTTGGTATTATTATAATATCTAGTACAACTTATAATCTTGTCGTGCACGCCTCGATCTTACGGGCCGGACCACCTCGGATGGTGCGGCCCATGTACCATCTTATGGTACCGGGGTATATCCCCCACAGCTAGTCCCCGAGCGCTATGTATTCTGATGCGACACGTCATTTTAACCTTCTCCGAACAGTGATGCTTGAGTTCTTGACATCTCCGACCACCGTTGTCGCCGGAGAAGTAGGTTGTCCGAAGAATGTATGGTGCTCTTAAGAAGAAAAAAAGATTTCCATCGGAAGTGTGCCCACGGCCAGGTTTCGTGAAGAAAGCGTAAGGGTGTCTTGAAGCGTGGCGTCTTTGATCATCGAGGCGCGAGGGGTCAAAAACAAGCACATTCACCGCAAGGTGAAGTGTGCCCACTTAGTCCCCGCGGTAGTAGGTGACGTGAGGCACGTGGTGTCGTGGTCTAAAAAATCTTGTTAATTAGATACGCATGCACCATCGTGCAGCGCGATGTAGTCTCCGAGCTCTTTGGAAGGAGAGGTATGAGCCTTGTAGCAAGGTCTAAAGGAGATAAAATATCCCAATCAGAGCGAGTCACCCCAGGTCTCATGTAGTCGAGACGCGAAGTCTCAGTGTGATCGGAGAGTGGTCCGAGACAGATCCCCGAGCACAAGTCAAGGAGCGAGCTGCGAAGTCCCGTGTGGTCAAAGAGTGGTCGAGCGATCCCGATGCAGGTCGAGGAGCGACGGCACGAAGTCCCCGAAGCTGTGGTTAGAGAGTGGTCGGCGCTTATTGAGCACAAGTCAAGGAGCGAGCGCGGCGAAGTCCCCGAGCTGTGGTCAAAAGAGTGGTCGAGGCGCCCCCCGAGCACAAGTCAAGGAGTGAGCGAGAAAGTCCCCAAGCTGTAGTCGAGAGTGATCGAGGCGCCTCCGAAACATAGTCGAGGAGCGAGCGACGAAGTCCCCATGCGTAGCTCGAAATTCCTACAATATAAATATGTAGAATGGTAGTACATGATGTATAAAGTAATAAATTATAGAGAAAAAATCAGCGGTGAAGAAATAGCGTATGACGCTCAGCAGTCATTTGCAAATGAGCATGATGTGATAAAGCAGTTGGTGCTTTGTAAACATCAGTGTTAATGTGAAGTTTGTGTTTGTACTTAATATAAACTGCCCGACCAGTTAGTGTGTAGCTGAGTCTCCAGCCCTACCTAGCCCGTTAACCATAACGTGGGGCGCGGAGCCCGTGCACGTGTAGGAAGAACAAAGCGTCGCTAAGGAGCCACTGCCGACCACCCATAACGCAGAGGGCAGACGCTCGTGCACGTGTAGGGAGGAGCCGGAGACAGGGCCATTTCTAGAGACATTGAGCGTCAACATGACTGGTCGAGGATTTGCATTAAGTATACCTGTATGTTATATTTAAGATGGTATACATGGACAAACGTTATTTGAAGAATAATCATGACGAGGACGTCTGTGGAGAAACGTCGTAATGAAAAATTATATTAAATATAAATATTAGAAGTGTACTTATCTTTGGATAGAAATCAGGTCGGCGGTGATGAAGTTGACCGGTCCTCAAGCTTTCCGACCTGTCGTCATGACGGTGGTCACGGTTGTCGTAGCGCCGTTCTTCACGGCGATCATCATTGCGATGTGGTCTGGTGGTTAACGTGGTTGGAGTTAGGTGGAGCCACTCGAGACGTGGTTGGCGTGAGCTCGGTGGAGCCACTCGAGACGTGGTCGACGTGGTCCATGGTCGACGTGAGCTCGGCGGAGCCGCTCGGGACGTGGTCGATGTGGTCCGTGGTCGACGTGAGATCGGTGGAGCCGCTCGGGACGTGGTCGACGTGGTCCGTGGTCGACGTGAGCTCGGACGGCTTGCTCAATGGGCCCGCTTGGAAGCTCATCTCAGCGATCATGTCGGCGTCGGAAGGCTTTGTCGTCAAGACGCGTCGATGTGAAGTCTCATCAGGTAGTCAACAGAGGCCGCCACGATCAGCGGGCCGTGCTGAAGACAAATCGTCGATTCTGGTGATGACCTTGACGGAGTCTAGGGAATTGGGGCTGAGCAGCAGCAGTGCCTCATGCGCACATGTAGAAACTTGTGCACATCCTGGTAGCCTCTGGATCGAGTAGTCATTGGATGAAAACAGCAAGCAAGATTAGACTGTACGTGATGCATATACAAGTATATGCATGATTAGCTTGCATGCCTTCTATCTTGCTCCTTCCTTATTGGCTTGTTGTTCGTTCGGCTGACTCGTTGAAGTAGGTGGATACGCCGGGTCAGAGCTCTAGTTTCATGGACGCATCTGGGTCTTGAATCATCGAGAACCCAGCCCAGACTTGGTGCTGTCGCCTGACTCGGAAGCCAGTACTTGGGCGCAGGCTGCTCTACTGCAAGTCGAAATCAGACTCAGCTGGCGCGATAGTTGTACCTCGTATGCATGGTGCTGTAGATGCACGTGGTCGGTGTTGACTTTGGAAGCAATCCAGGAGAGCCGGAAGTTGATCGGCCAAGCCGCTACAAAGCGTGTAGTCATGAACGCCGACGGTCACGGACCTGGGTGAAGTCCCGACACGAGCTGGAGGGTTGCCGCCGTGAAGCACGGGTTGCCGCTGTAGTAGATTGATTCCATCGCCGAGTGATATCAAGCCTGTCAGGCTTCTAAAGCACGTCGCCGTAGGAAGTCAGGTTGCCACGAGCGGCGTCGATCATTAGATCCCATCTGGTTCGCCATAGATCAGCGCGCATGATCCCCTAAAGGGGACCTCTACCTGGCGCGCTACTGTCGACGAAATATGGTCGGAAGTCCATCTAGGGGTATGCCCATGATGGTAGATTGTCGGTAGACGGTGCGTGTAATCAGGAACCAGATGGTTATAGAAGGCACAAGACACAAGATTTATACAGGTTCGGCCGCCATGTTGGCGTAATGCCTACGTCCTGTGTCTCATTATTCTATATTGATTGAGGTGATCTCTAAGGGGGACCCCTGCCTCTCCCTGTATACTCAGGAGGAGGAGGGTTACAAGTAAAGTATCCTATTTGGTACTATTACAATATCTATTACAACTTGTAATCTTGCCGTGCACGCCTCGATCTTACGGGCTGGGCCACCTCAGATGGTGCGGCCCATGTACCATCTTGTGGTACCCGGGGGTATATCCCCCACATACCATGTTTCGTAATAATAGATCTGGAATTCTGGATAATAATCTTATTCTTTGGAACAAGCAAGTCATCATTTCGTTAGAGTTTATTCAGTTCATTTTGATTGATGGGATAAACAATATCTCAATTTCTCATGACCCTATTGTCCTGTTTTCATGGTAGGTGTAACCCATGACTACCTTGTACATCCTTGTAGATTGGGGTACGACTTGTATGCAGATTTTTCTCCTACGCCGAATTCTTACGGTAATGTTGTGCTAAGGACGATCGTCCATTCAGACTTTTTCGTTGGTGGGCCACAATACCAGCCCAACAGCCCAGCACTCTTCTCTCCACGGATGAAATACAGCCTGTTCGGTTGGCTGGTTCGTTTCGTTGCTAGTTCGTGAAGAAGTACTGCTAGCTGGTTTGTGTGAGAGAAAAATATTGTTCTGACTAGAAATTTACGATCGTTTACGACAAGCCACAGCCAAACGAACAGGCTGATAGTGGACGAACGTATTCGCTCGTGAACCCGTCGTCTCCATTCTCTAGAACCCACATTCCTCTCCATTCAACGCACCGCCGTCTACCGCGGTGTGCTCCAGTGCAACCATGCCGCCATAGGGCTCTCCACCGCGCTCCAGCGCCGCCGCCCGCCAGCCTTCCTCCCCACCAGGTGAAAGCTCTAGTTTGGTTTTGGTGAATTGATGAAACCTTAAGTGCTAACCTAGTTTATCAAGTGATCATGAGATAGGTAGCACACTCCAAGTGGTGAAGTAAAGGAAGATCATCGCATGATGAAGATGATGCCATGGTGATGATCAAGTGCTCGGACTTGGAAAGAAGAAAGAGAAAAAAACAAAAAGCTCAAGGCAAAGGTATATTTTGTAGGAGCTATTTTGTTTTGGTGATCAAGACACTTAGAGAGTGTGATCACATTTAGGTTTGATAGCCGTACTATTAAGAGGGATGAAACTCGTATCGGAAAGCGGTTATCAAAGTGCCACTAGATGCTCTAACTCATTGCATATGCATTTAGGATCTAGTGGAGCGCTAACACCCATGAAAATATTTGTGAAAATAAGCTAACACATGTGCACAAGGTGATACACTTGGTGGTTGGCACATTTGAGCAAGGGTGAAGAAGATAGAAGTGAAAAGGAGTTAGTGTCACTGGCTATACAGTAACCGGACGCTGGACCTCTGGGGGACCGGCACATTCGGCCATGTATGGCAGCGAAGACGCTAGCATCAGTGAATGACCGGATGCTGGGTCAGGGATAGACCGGACGCTAAGGGTCTGGGTCCGGTCGTGTTGTCGGGCGGCACAGTAAGAAGTCATAGTGTGATCTGACGTTGGCAGGGTCCG